GAAGGCAGTTGCAGTGGTGGTCAGAAATGGCCACCACAAAGAACAACTCGACCAGAAAAGAATGTGTAGGAGGAAGATAAGAGGAGAAAGTTTTGGTTGACCGGGTCAAACAGCAAAAGCAACAAATAAGGTACCCTGGAATTTAAATTTAATAACATTGTTCCCAAAGAAGATTTTGAAGCTGCGAAGGAGAAGGGAAAGGATTAGCGCTTTTTTTCCCCTTCCCTTTCTTATACCGACAGCTGAGACTTAAGCAAGAAATTGAAAAAAATCCACTTTGACATTAATAGGCATCTAAGCTGAAAATAAAAGTCAAAGGGATAATAAAGATTTCTGGATATTTAAAAGATTTTAAAAGCAGAAAAGGAGAAAAAAAAGAATAAAAGGGCAGGATCTGGAAAAATGGAGGAGACTGCCTGGAACTAAGGAACGGAACTGTAACTAAAAGGAACTTACAGTGAAATTTCAACAAGATTCCTCAAAGATACATCTTAATTAAAACTTGGTAACAAAATAATAGAACCCCAGGAAGAGAAAGTGGGAAAAAGAAGCAAGTAGAAACAGGATTACTTGGTGATTTTTGGTTTTTGCATCTGGATGACTAAAATTAACCGGGTGGTTGTTTAAAAGTCTTTGAAATGGTATCACTCTTAGAAGAACTGAAAATGGAACTTAAAAAATGGAAAGAAGATGCACAAGAAGGGAGAGGTTCTTTTGGCTTTGTATTTCAATTCTTAGAAATGGAAATCTGGAACTATGAGAAACAACAAGAAACTCTTGCAGAACAAGAAGGTTGGGACAAAGAAGAAGCCATCTTTAATGATCAAATAATTTTAAGTGGGGGGAAAAAAGAAAAGGGGGGAAAGAGAGTGAAAGGTTTAAGACTAGAAAAAACAACCAAAAAGAAGAATTTGAAAGATAAGTATAATATTAGAAAGCAACAGAAGAGGGGATTACAGATGAGTTAGAAGTAGAGAGACAAGGGGGTAAAAAGGGGAGGGAGAAGAAGAGGGGGAAGAAGGCAAGGAAAAGAAGTTGTAAAAGACAGAAACAAGAAATGGAGAAACAGGGAAAAGATATAAGGATTGTAACTATAAGCTTGTTTAGAGATAATGGGTGAAAATTTAATTGCAAAAGGGATTCTGCAAAGGTACATAAGATAGCATTGTTATATTATAAACAGAAATAATTTTAGAAAATATTATTAAAATGATGGATAAAATATTTACTGTAATGTAGTTGAATGTTTGGTAATAAATAAATGAATTAAAATGATTGAGAGAATTAAATGGGAACATTTTTAATTATTAGTAATGATTTATAAAAATATAAGTGAGAAATATGGGGAAAAAAGAATTAACTATGGAAAGTTTATAAGTGTTCTCAAGGAAGTATGATATTTAATTGAAAAGAAATGTTAAAGATGTTAAGATTTTAATGAATATTAATGACAGAATTGAATTGGAATGGAATGTGTGCTTTATTTACACACACACACACACACA